AAAATGTCTCTTTGGAGACTGGGGGAAATTTCAGAATGAACAGAATGAAGTGAGATTTCTTTCTGTCTAAAACACAGCCACTAACTGCCCATGGACCTGAGGAGCCATCATTTGAATCGGCTACCAGCTCAGCGGGGGTACAAGGCCGGTGAGCCTGTCTGAACCACTTGTCCTAAAGTGGCCAACAGACAAGGAAGGCAAAATGGACTGGCCTCACTCTGTTTTGCCCAGTACAAACTCCCTTTCCACTTCCTAACCTATTTGAAGCCCATCTCTGTCTTCTGTTTTAACTTGATATTTGGGGAATGAAAGTCAGCTCAGAAAGAGTAAAGAAAAATGGCGGCATATGTCACAAGCAGGCATTCGCTGAGATTGCTTCCTCTGTGTCATCTATGCCTCTTCTCAGCAACCCACCCTAACTAACCCCTCACCCTGGAGAACTCCTTGAGAAGTGAGAGCCATGACCTGCATTGGAACAGAGCAAAGCCAGTCTTTGCAGTGGCCTTCAACACCTTCACGGTGGGGATACCCCCAGCCTGCAGGCTAACACCTGCCACTATCCCTTCTCATTCCGCTCTTGCCTGGCTCCCTGGCTGTGTCCCCTTTCCCCAAAGAGCTGCAGTGTGACATCCATCTCCACCTCAGGTGCTTGTTCAAGTCACGTTCTCAGTGGCTTACCCTGACCACCTTATTGAAAATCACAGAGCTCTCTACTCTGGCATTCTCAAAACTCTTTATTCACTCTGATTTAAAAATTGCATTGATCATCTTCTAAAATACCAAATACTTTGCTTTATTTATTATGTTTATTATTTATTATCTATCTCCCTCATCTGGTTCCCAAAATAAGCTCATTGGAGCTCTTTTTGTCTATTGTTCCTGTTGTTTTGTTCACCAATATGCCTAGAGTAGTGTCTGGTTTTTATTAGGTACCCAGTAAATATCTGTTAGTGGTTTAATAAATGAATAAATTATCCTTTTGCTTCTTTTGTCAGACACAACTGATAAGAAGTGGTTATATTTATAGTAAAATCGCATTCATTAAATATAAAGATCCAAAATATAGCCATCTTATTTTTGAGGTTAAACAGTTGCAGACTTAAGAAGCTTATAGATTAGACTTGGTTTTTTGTGTCTTGGTTCCATTCTTATGAAGCTTGCTGCCAAAAATTCCCACGGCAGCTTGTTCCTTGTTAAGACTGCGGGGATATATTTAGAGCACAAAACCTCTGTATAAGGATCACTAAACTCTGGTGTATACCTTCTTCATTCACCTCTGTTAGCTTTGGCTCTGGGTCTTACACTAAATTCTGCTGTAAATGTTGCTGCTTTCAAACCTCTTATACAGAAATGTAGGCTTCAACAAGACCTAACTTGAATGACTCCTGGCACTAGAAAGATATTTAGGATAAGGATGAGCTGCCTTTCAACAAGGCTTGCAAATTAAAGAATTATACTTTCTCAGGCTATAGCACAGGAAAATCCCTGCACTAGAGATGATTCGTTGATTATATTTTAGGTATATGTTTTGTCTAGGCCAAAAATTCACTCATTCTATGTACAAGTATACCTGGAGTATACATCTCTTTTCCAATTTTCTTAGTATCTTTTCCATAATTAAAAATCAACTCTGATGCTGTGAGTTCATTTTAAATCAAGAAATATCTTTATTTTCCCCAAAGGAGAATTGTCTTATGGGTTTTTTTTTTTAATTTGTTTAATATTCTGTAGAAATAGTTAAGCCAAGAAGCCATAGCCTAGGTGTCGGGAGCTGCTAACAATTAAAGCAAAACAATATACTGAATAAAAATGGTTTAATCACCATGAAGCCTGGGGCACCTGGGTGGCTTAGTTGGTTGGGCAGTTGGACATATGTCTTTGGCTCAGGTCATGATCCCAGGGTCCAGGAATCTGGCCATGTCGGGCTCCCTGCTCCGCGGAGAGCCTGCTTCTCCCTCTCCCTCTCTCTCTTCCCTCTGCCTGTGCTCTTTCTCTCTCTCTCTCTCTCTCAAATAAATAAATAAAATCTTAAAAAAAAAAGTTATAATCACCATGAAGCCTGGAATGGGAAGGTGTGGGGAGGAGAAAGAGCCCTTATCATTTGTATGTTCATGTTTATTCTTCTGATTCTAATTCAGTGTAATGCATTTAATTCCAGGGGAAGACTGAGAAATTTGCCTTCTAATCAGAGTTTAATTCCTAGGTCTGAAACCATGCCTAGAAACACAAGCTCACATTCTAAAAAGCTCATCCCTTGAGACCTGCTATGATAGATAGACAAGATCTATTTGACTCTTTCCTTTGGAAAGATCCGAGATTATTTTCCAGGTTCTGTGATCTGTGAGCTTTTAGCTGTGTTGTTTCTAGAACCCAGTGCTGATAAGGCCCTGAAAGTGAGATAACAGTATAGGGGACTTGGTCTGTTTCGTGGGCCCACCCCAGCCAGGCTCTGAAGCTGGGATCCATTCCCAGCTCTGTTCCTTTGTAACTGTGTGGCCTTGGAATTCATCTGAGTCTTCTTTTCCTCACTGGTAAATTAGAAATAACAAGGACACCTGTATAAGATAAATCAGTAATAGTTCTCAGTAAACATTAGCTGTCAATATCATTCACATCTTTTAATCCTCACAACATTCCTATAACAATTCTACAACTCCACAAAGAATCTACATCCCTCCCTTAGACATTATCAAATCCAGGCACAGGACAACTTGCTCAAAGGCATCCAGAAAATAAGGGGTTAAGCTAGTTTAAATTTAGAAAGCCTCTTGCTCCTCCTTCCCAGACAACTCCTTTGAAGCTATTTGATTTTAACCCAAGAATTTCTGTCTGTAGGTTGGGAACATGAACTTTAATAATTTTCATTTCTCCGTGTTACTTACCAAGGGTCTGGGGCTGAAAGTCAGCCCCTATCTTGACCCTGAAGCATTAGTTTTTTGCTATAAAAGAACATTCTACCCTGGAAATCTGATCACAGTAGCTCAATACTAATGTTTGTACAAAGCTGAGCTAGTTCCTGGGAACCTCTGTAACATATATTTGCCCCTGGGGTCACTAATGGCAGAGAGATCAACAGTTAAGTGGGAGCTAAGTGAAACATTTATAGGAGATGGAGAAGGAACATTACAACTGGGGCCACATCCCTTGGGGCATATACAATTCAGCTTTATTTCAGAGTGCAATTCATCTTTCTGTATTTTATGCTTCAAACATTTTATAGTGTTTTAATGGCCCCCTGAAAGGGAACTCCTAAACCTGCTTTGAATGCCTCCTGTGTGCTTAGCCCTATGTTTGGGACCAGAGAGGGACCATTCTTGACCATGACTGTGAGCTAATAATCGAGTGACACAGGACAAAATAAGAACTGCAAAGAATATGCTAGCAATGTGGACCTTTGTTCTCCCCGAGGCTGATAACCGTCAGGCAAACAGAAAGACCTTCAATCTGAGGTGGTTATTTTGAACAAAAAGAATGTGTTGTGATCAAACAAGAAAAGGGAACAACTTATTCTGATGGGGAGGCTTGGGGAAGGCCCCATGGAAGTCCTGGCCTCAAAGAGTAAGTAAAATTGTAATCGAGGGCTACAGAGACAGCCTGAGCAGAAGGCAGGGAAGTGGGTGAGGGGACTGAACATCCAGATGACCAGGAACCTCTGCAGTTAAGCATGGGCTCCCTACAGGCAGCGGTGGAAGATGAAGGGTGAGGGTAAGTTGGAGCCCTTCTAGAAGGCATAACCGACATGGAGTGTGTGTTCTATTTTCTGAATAATTGGGAGGCTCCCGAGGGGCAGAGTAATCTATTCATTTCACTATTTTGGAAAAAATAATTCTGGAGCTAACACAAAGGATGAATTTAGGGGGTGAAACTGGAAATAGGACCATCAGCTAAGAAGTGCGTGCAAAAGGCACAGCTGTCAGCCAGGGATGAGGCCATCACCATGACGGTTGCCCAAGAAATAAAAGAGCTTTCTGAGGGGGCCAACGACTACTCACCGGGACAATAATTTGCTATTGTCCATGGGGAGTGGGGAGAACTGAAAGATGGGATGAAAGAATCGGTGAGTATAGCCAGGGTATCTTGTGAGGTGATGACAGGTACTGGGTTCCCTGACAAAGCTGGAGTTAGTGGAAAATCTCATGTTTTATGACCCTGCTCAGCTGCATTGCAATAACGTCATCTTCCAAATCCTTTCAATATTACAAAGCATAATTTTCTATTTTCAAAGCACAAATCTACTTGATAAAAGCAAACCATTCAAGAGAGCTTAGAATGTGCCCAAAGGAGGCCACACCAATGCCCTCTATAGCTTGAACTTGTAGGGGAGGCAAGACTTGATCTCTACCCACTTGGGTGTTCAGCTGGGACTCTAACAAAAAGACAGGTTAAGGAGAAAAACAAACAGGAGTAACATGTACATTTCATGTACATGTGGGAGACGCCCAGGAAAAGTAAAACTCAAAGATGTGGTTTTAGAATCCTGAATTAAATATTACTGAGTAGGGCAAGGGGAGGGGACATAGGCCTCTGAAGGGAGAGCATCTGATCTTTAGGAAGAATAGATGAGAAGAATATTGTGTGATCAGGTTTGTCAGGGTGCGGTATCAACTTCCGGTCTCGTCTCCAGCACTAAGAGTTAGTGCTCCCTGATCAATAACACTCCTGGGAAAGGGATTTATGACCGTTATTTTGGAGCATTTATCTCCAGACATATTAGGTTGTTCAGAGACAGTGTCTCCTTGCATTTACCATTTTCAAATGCTTGCAGTTCAAAAATCATCAATATAGTGAAGTAACAGATTTTGGGGTGAGTGTTCTGTCACCCCTCAAGCTAAAGGTAACCTGGGAATGACTATGTCAGATGCCCAGAAAAAGCCATTAGAAGAGCAATGCCTTGAGCTGCTTTAAGGAAGGTTATTCTGAGCCTTATCTGTTTCTCTGAAAATACATTTCACCTCTTTCATTTTCTCTTTCTTTTTCTTCCTCATGCCTACGCTTTTTAGAGGAAAAGTCCGGTAAGAAATAAGTCCTTTCCACATTTTGGCCAAACATGACTTCTGTTCATTTTCATCATCTGCATAATGACTGACTGTGTTTAACACCTAAACAAGATTTTGAATTTTAAAAACAAACCTTTGTGAACCAGGACAAGGTCTAATTATGCCCCATGGGGAAAAAAGGAAGTTGGTTGCTAAGTGATTTTACAAGTCCCTTATGAAGGGCCACGGTGTAATTTTGTGAAGATTTCACCTCTGCCTCCATCACAGGCATATGATTAAATATTTAAGGTATTGAGTTTTATTTATTGCATTTTCCACTTGGATTAGTTAAGCTACTTATACATACTGTGAGCTAGGCAAGCATTCTTTTAAGTTAATTTCTTGTTTAATGCACAACATGATAGCATCCATGAATGAAGGCCTGTGAAGCTGGCCTAGAAGAGGGAAGTTGTCTTTCTTCTTTTGTTTTTCAGCTAATCAGAAAAATATCCCCTTCTGGAGTTGTCAAAGAGACAGAAAAATAAGATCTTTATAAAGTGCAAAGCAACTCTTTCACACTCCTTTTTAGTACCAGTGGGTGATTTTTAGTGGCAGCACAAATCTGCTATGATGTACCTACATTTTTTTTAAATTTTAGGACAACAATGAAATAGATCTACTAAAAAAAAAAGAAAGAAAGAAAGAAAAAAAAGGAAAAAAAAATTCAATGTTCTCTTCTCAGTTACCTGGTATATTGGGAAAGTGTTCCCAGGATGCCGATGCTCGGCTGACACAGGTAACCTCTCCACCGAAAATCATGGAAATACGGTGTTTCCATGTTAACGAGCACCAAGGAATGGTTGGTGGTTGGTTGTACTTAACTCACCTAAGTGGATGCTGCAGTAAACTTGTCATCCTGTCCATTGGCCTCTGCCTGGTGGTCTCCGTACCACCTGCAGGATACCCGACCTGTGGCAAGTCCATGTGATAGGAAGGAGGAGAAGTGGAAGACACAGAAGAACAAAAACGGGATCAAAATACTAAAATACATCAAAATAAGAACCCAAAGTCTTTTGGTTTCTAAAGATAAAATAAACACATTATTATTATTATCACTATGGCTACTACTAAACTGAATGGCCCACTTCTGAGTAACTGCGAGTCATCTACATATCACGTGCTATGTGGCATACAATTTTGTTGGTGTGCTTTAGTAGCCTTTCTTTATATTTTGCCAATTGCACTTATTCTTGACCCTGAATCTTTCTCTAACTTATCCAAATTTGACCACTTCAAAAACTGACTCAATTGGGTGGCCTGAAGTCTACCTCCAGTGCCTCAAAAAGGCACAGTTCCTCATGGGTTTTCCCCTGTTGTCCTTACCTCAATTTTAACTGCAAGTAATCCCTGTCATTTTCATCTGTGTGTTTTTAAGGACGAGTCCTCCTCCCACTCCCTGGCCTCATTTTCCTTTGGAAATGTCCATCTTGTTGATTGCCCAATCTGGTTGAGTCTTAATGATTATCTTGGTTAGTAGCAGGCTCTTTGTTTCTCTTCCCAAATGGAGTTTCAGAAGATCATCTCAACCAAGTCCCATTGGACATGATAGATATTCACTGTAATCTGACTTGTAATGGATACAGGAACAAATTTAAATATAGACAAACTCTTATAAGGGATGGGGGTAGAGGATAAGACCTTGCCAGGTAGCTGGACTTCCCCATCAGCATTTAAAAGCAAGTAAGGAAATGGGCTGGAATAAAAATAATACGCAAAATGATCACATATTCTAATTCTTTCCTAGAAAATTCTCTAACATGAATCACTGAATTTGCTATGACTAGCCTATATAAAAATATTTTGTTTGGTGCTTGGTAGCTTTTCATGCATTTTCCTCTGATTCCCCATAGCACTGAATTTAGCATGTTGTAAAACTTCAAAACCTGAGGCTGACTTAGTGATTTTGATGAGCAAGACAGATTGTGTTTGGTTACTTCTTTTTATAAATATCTTAAAACACTTACCCGCATTGGCTAAGACTAAGGTATCCTAGTAGGCTGACTTAAAATTAATCCTTTTGTGCAAAAAATAACGAAGCAAAGCTGGTGTGGAATAAGGACACTGTGGAAACTATGAGGACATAGGCTGAAATATTATCTGAGGGAGGCATATTCATATTGCAAATTATATACATTCTAGAAATACAACGTTTTAACAGAAGATCTTCATTCTAGTGACCAAATTATAAATTATTAGTGCACACCCACCTTGAAAATAACCTCAAGATACAAAGTAAGAGTTATCTTTTATTTGAACACCACAATAGAAGTAGAGGGAATAATAAATATTTCCAAAACCTTTTCCAGAATGTACCAGAAGATCAAGAGAAATCTAGGAATTGAGCAATTAATATTTAAATAGGAGCACAGGAGATTTGTTCAGAAAAGGAATAGACCAATTGCAAAGTCCCTGTTTGAGTAATCAGGTGAAGTAATAAGAACAGTAGATAAAATTTACTGAGAGCTTATTATATGTGATACAGACGTCTGCAATCAGAGACAAATTGGCCACCTGCTGATTCTGAACAACTGAATAAGTGTTTTGTTTGCTTGTGCAGTTAAAAACAACTTTAGCCCCATTTAAAAACCAGAATGTTTTAAATTAAAAAAAAATATATCAGGATGTGCTGCTTCTCTCGACAACTCGATCTGGCAGCCCTAGGCCCAGATTTTTTGCAAGGCAGACATGGGTGCACTTGAGTAGTGTTGAGTTTCCCAGAGCTTTGTGAAAGACACATGCCTTTACCAACAGCACCCCTCTCCTTGCCCTGTACTCATCTGAGTTTGTCACTCAACGCGTAGTGTTCAGCTTACAGAATATATCAAGCCCGGGGCCACCTGGGTAGCTCAGTCAGTGAAGCGTCTGACTCTTGATTTGGGCTCAGGTCCTGATCTCAGGATTGTGAGATTGAGCCCCACCTTGGGTTCCATGCTGGGCATGGAGCCTGCTTGAGATTCTCTCTCTCCCCCTCTGCCCCTCCCCCCCCACCCCATGCTCTCTCAAGCTTTCTCTCTCTCTCTCTCTCAAAAAAGAAATCTAAACTAGAATGTACCAAGACCTGATACAAATGACTTTCCTTCCACCTTTGAAGCAAATTCTATATATTGGTAGAACAAAGATAAAATGCTAAAAGCTTCAAAGATCTTGGAAAATGAGAAGAGAAGGAGTAAAATAAAAAATAGGTAAAGACTTTCCTTTCCTGACTCTTACAGATTTTGCTGTCAAAATTGTTCAGGGTGCCTGGGTGGCTCAGTTGGTTAAGCGACTGCCTTCGGCTCAGGTCATGATCCCGGAGTCCCGGGATCGAGTCCCACATCAGGCTCCCTGCTCAGCAGGGAGTCTGCTTCTCCCTCTGACCCTCTTCCCTCTCGTGCTCTCTATCTCTCATTCCCTCTCTCTCAAATAAATAAATAAAATCTTTAAAAAAAAAAAACAAAATTGTTGTTCAGCAGAGCCTATAGCTGCTTTATGCACCTTAATGGTGATAAATAACATATATGGAGCCCTTCGATCTGATGTGTAGAATTCCTTTTCTTTTGAAGGTTTCAAATAGCTCTTAATTATGGACTTTGAGGATTTCTGGGTCTGAGCTCTCCACAGCTTCTAGCTGGGACTTCTGGGTTCATGCTTGTGACTGCATGAATTTGAACAGCTTTACCCAAATGAAGGCATTTTGCAAGTGGAGTTTCCAAAATGCTATCTTTTTTTTTAATTCAAGGTAGTTAACATACAGTGTAGTATTGGTTTCAGGAGTAGAATTTAGGGATCCAACACTTACATCTAACACCCAGTTTCATCCCAATAAATGCCCTCCTTAATGCCCATCACCCATTTAGACCATCCTCCTACCCACCTCCGTCCAGCAAGCCAAATGCTATCTTATGATGTTGCCTTTTGCTAGAAAAAAAAATACAAACAGGAACTGTTCATTAAAAATATAGGTTTTTAAGTCATTAGAGATTAAAATATGGCTTAATTTGGGTAAATTGATATAACTGTAATTATTTTGAAAAGTGTTCTCTCTAATCTTAAATTAATAAAGTTTCTTTGAATTTAAGGTTCTGCCTCTATATGGGTATGATCTGCATTTCATTTTGCATTACTTTTCATAATTTCCTCTTAGGGAAATTTGTGTCACTTTCATTCCTCTTCTTTGCTATAGTTTATGCTACTTTTAAAAGTGATTTGTTTGCCATGAGATTGAAACTAAAATCATAAATTCCCACATTTTCTTCTTAGAGAAGAATTTTAGTCTGGTCATTAAAAGAATTATAAAGTCTAAATGTTCATTTAAGATAGTAAATTCCTCTCAAAACATAGTATGAATTAGTAAAAGAATTTAAGCCCGGGCGCCTGGGTGGCTCAGATGGTTAAGCGTCTGCCTTCGGCTCAGGTCATGTTCCCAGCGTCCTGGGATCGAGTCCCGCATCGGGCTCCCTGCTCCTTGGGAGCCTGCTTCTCCCTCTGCCTCTCTCTCTCTCCCTGTCTCTCATGAATAAATAAATAAAATCTTAAAAAAAAAAAAAAGAATTTAAGCCCAGAAATACATATTCATAAATGGTTTTTTTTCTCTGATTTAAATAAATTACATCCACACATATCAACAAAGGTATAAGAAAGGTGGGAGCAATATAGAATAGAACCTGGAAAATCAGGCAAATGAGAAAGTCTAAAATATTAGAAATAAAATTGACTAGAGTAAATAGTTCCAAAATAACGAGTTCTGTTATACAACATTCAAAACAGGAAGTAACCATTCATGGTTCTCTGCTTTAGGAGTCCTCCAACAATATAATGTAAGAATGAGACCAGAAATCTAAACTCTGTCTGTGGTTCTACGCATTCACTAGCTGTGGGTCTCAGAGACTCACTTCCCCCTCTTTATCAATAGGCCATTGGTCCAGATATGCTTGGAGGCCTCCCAGGTATAAAACACTAGAGGCTTGTTTCCTGTCTATGTTCTAGAGTAGAACAGTCCTTCTCATTTGAGCAACCTTCTAGAGACTTACATGCTTGTGCTCCTGGCCTGGATTTGGGGATTGGGGCAATACTGGGTCCCAGGTAGCCTTTAGGAACTTCATGGGGTAGCCCATATTTTGAAAACAAAACTCTAAGCAACATCTCTTTCCCCACTCACATGATAGTCACTCTTGTTACTTGCTACAGAAAAATCCTGAAGAGGGAGAGTAATCAGAGATTGTTGGGGTAAATTGACAGCAGCCATAATCCAGGTGTGAGAAGTGAAAGAGAGAAGTCATATGTCTGCTCGTTGTGTTCTTCCAGACATCATCTGGTCCACCATTGTTCTACTGATGGTGGACAGTTTGCATTATTGCTATCTGTCCTTGTCAGGGGCTCCTCGTCTTCCTCATCACATCCCCACCCTTTGGTAGAGGCTGCCCAAATCACCAGGCCAAAAAAAATTCCTCATCAGCATTCATTCCATAGTACATCAAAGAGAAGAGCCAGGCAAAGAGGTCTTTCTACTCCTGCTCTCTGATTTGGGGAGGCTCCAATTTAGTCCAAATTATGTGGGAAATGAATTATGTTTATGGCATTTGCTAACACCCCGTTGTGTGTGGAAATACTTTTCTCTGTCATACCTAGTCTCTAAAACCTCCTCCCCAAATAATCTGGAGAGAAATTCCTTATGACAAAACATTAAAAGCTGTCAGTGAAGTTTTCTTGGACGTTTCTTTCTTCTTCTTGTATGCACATCCCTGAAATAGTACACCCCATTAGCAAAGCTATATTATACCACAGATCGCTTCTTTTTAAGGTTCTCCAAACTTCCTTATGGTTTAAATAAGCCACAGGCACGATGACTGCCTGTTTTCCTTTGGCCTGGTTACTTAAAGAGTGTATGTTTGGTTGGCTGTTTATGAAGTCCTCTATTACCCAAGCCTGTTGACTGATCCATCATTCTCTGACTAGGTATCTGTTCTCTCTTCCTTTTTGCTGATCACAGAGGCGCAGTCCGGTAAGAACCCTCAACATTTTTACCTTAAACATGTATAGAGAAAATTGTTGCCAAGGCAAGGTAGCCAGGTTTGGATTCCCCATTAAATTTCTGATAACTCAGTATGAATGAAGCAGATGAATTAGGTTTACTGGTTGGAAGCCTCTGGTCCTATAAGCATCAAGAGCATGTTTCAGAATTATCAGAACACTTTTCCATAACAAACTAAATTAATACATAGATATCCCAATCCTAGTGCTAAATTTGAAAAATGTGTGTGTGTGGGTGTGTATGGTGTATATACAAGGCCTGGAGGTTTGGCCAGAAAGCACTTAGAAGTTTACAGCAAAATGACAATAAAAACTAGAAAACTATAAGGAAAGTAAGGAAACAATTTTTAAGCCACATTGTTTTTAAGCCCAAATTTAAAATAAGTTCCTGGACCATAATTTACATTGGTCAGTATACTGATATACTGATATTACATAATAATATAGAATCATAATTTCCATCTTGGGAGGAAGAGACATTTTTTTGGGTCTATACTCCTAGACTGTCACATAAATCTATTATTTCACCACCGAAGTCGAATCAGTATTAGTTTGCATTGCTCAAAGTGAAATCCCAGTCATTTTTCTCAGGGTGAAGAGTCTGATGAATTTAAAGCAACAAAAGGAAGGGTCTTTGCTATGTTTGAAATGACCTCCCCTCTGCCTTGAGAGAGGAAATGGAACTGAAAACAATGCCCTCAGAAATGCCCTCCATGGGCATATGCCGATTTGATTAATCATTATGTGAGGCCACTAGTCTGCCCCAGCTGACAAGCTGGTCGTTCTCTGTTTACACCATATAGCCAATGATCAAAGATAACACCTCCAGGGACTGCTATTCACATGTGGATGATTTCTCCCCAGCAGTTAGGCCACATGTCAGAGTATGACAAGTTACTCTTTTTTTTTTTTTTAAGGAAAAAGAGGAAATTAATTCAAAATGGAGGTGATTGATTCACAACATACATGTAAGGACAATCATTGAAAAGAGGGAAAATGTGGTCCTTTGGAAAGGAGACGATTTTTTAATTCAATGGGCTTTTTCCTGACTGGTTTGTGTGGTCGACATAATCTTGACCTTGTTCTAGATTTGCCATACTGCAACTCCAGGCCATCAGAGAGCCATGAGCCGGATCCAGCTGACAATGGCGATTTTCTTGTCTGTTGCTGCTGACTTCCTGCTGATCATTCATATTATTTGTTCCTTTCTAAAGTGATATTATTTTATTCTTGCTAATCTCTCAACAACAAAGTTTTCTTGCCATATCTTGCTTGCACTTAACCGGTGATTGTTCATTTATGAGGAGCATTTAATAAGAATGTTACCCAGACTTCTTGCTTAGCACCTCTCCACAGTAAACACCTATTGAATGCATGGATACACCTGGAACCAATAAGTACAAAATAAGCCTTGTACCTTCTTTGGCTTCATAAGTATTACATTTTTAATAAAAGGGGTAAGATAGCCAAAAGATCTTCGATACTCCGGGGTCCCCTATCTCTTGGGTTTCAGGTCTCATAATTCGAGATGGATCCCATTCCCTCATGGCTAACCTTGTGATTGACTATTTGGAAGGAGAGGCCCCGGTATCTTTATTACACACCCATAAAAATCTGACCATCTGGGGCTCCGAAACCTAGAAAAACATTTTAATTCCATTTAGATGATTTGTTCTCCTATTTTTGTCTACAGAGCCTTATTTTCCAAAAGCCAGCCTGTATCCAAACTCCCATGCTAATGACTGTAGCTGATTTAAATGACCATATTTAATTTAAATGCTTATTAATTTAAATAAACATGTTAACTTAAACATATGAATTTAAAATGTGTATTCATTAAAGTAAATAAAATAAATATCTATTTTAAAAATCTTTACCAATAATGGAATAATTCTCTATAATGGCACAGACACACCAATTTTGTTATTAGGCAAGACAAGCCAGAACATATAGTTCGAAAGACTGTGCCATTCACTAGAAAACATCTAGTGAATTCTTGCTCAGATTGAAACTGCCCTTCTATTGTAAATGAGTTCAAAATGAGACAGGAAGTTCTGGTAAGTCCTAGGAAAGAAGGTAAGAAGTTTCTTCCAGGTCTGTTACAGAGGCACTACATCTTGTCCTGTGTTGTTAATGTTATCATGTGAGAGAAGAGAACGTACCTGCGACCTCCCATTAAGCACATGGTCACACCCTCTGAAATACTTCCCTATACTTGCCCTTTCCCACCCCCAGCACTGGCCCTGACATTCTCTTAAGGCAGGCCCTCTCCAGCCATGTCCCACCCCATGATGCCACCCTTCCAGTGCTCTCCTTTTCTGGTAGCACCCCATGCTAAGAAACTTCAGAGTAGTTTTGAATCAGTTTTTTTATCTAATCAATCTTTCTGTGATGGAAATAAATTTCTGCTAAGGTATTATAAAAGCAAGGCATGAACTTCTCAAATAATTCCTGCCAGGGCTCTTTGTATTCCTACAGTAGCACAATGCGTTGAGCTAAAGGAATGACTTCCAGGTGGCAAAGAGGTGGGCCCTGTGGCAGAGGGAGTAAATTGGGGTGGGGAGGGCACCTGGGGAGAACAGAATTCCCTGGCCCCCTGATTACAACAGCCCATCCAGGGGCAATGCCTCCAAGTTTTTCTTCCCTTTAACATTTGTTGCTTAGATCTTTACAAATTACATTAGTAAAATAATGACTGTTTTTACTGACAATTCATGGACCGCCCCTACCCTGATAAAAGCAGACAATACTCCTAATACATTCTATAATTTTCAAACATATGTTAAGCTTGGATTTAGTCCTCTGATAGACTTCAAGGTGTTTTTTTCTTTTAAATAGACTATTCAATGTTTGCTTAATTTATCAAATCTACCCAGGTAAGGGGTTTTTCTGGTTCAGAGACTTATGATTTACCCTCCCTTTCTCTCTATAATCCTTGAGTAAAACGAAAAACTGATTTATATGTGTTTATCTACAATTTCCAACTTGAATGCAATTCTGAGAAAAATCTCATTTTTCCCCATCTGCATTTCTGAGTTCAGTTGAATTGCAATGATAGAAATATACATATTGTACATAACATATATGTGGTCTTAAGCCTTATAGTGTCTATTTCTAATTCTAGGGTGCAATTAAAAGGAACTTATCCAGTAAGTATATCCTAGCTACCAGAAATAGAATAAATTTTAAAAGAAGAAATAGTTCCTTGGATCTTGGAGTGTGTGTATATATATATATATATATGTATGTATTTGCATTATACACTCTTGGGCTTGATTTTTAAGGCTCATGAATACTTTACTTTTACAGCAAAGAAATTTTGTAATGATAAAGGGGCCTCATGGGTTCTGAATGATTAATATTTAAATTCTGAAAATGAGTATGTTTTTGGAAAAACATTGCTATCTTCTTCCTTTATTTATCAACCTTTGATGTATCATTTGGCTTTAGAAATGAATTTAATCAAGTGTGTTTGTTGAGGGGGGAGGGGAGAGGAGAAGGGCAGAAGGAACTGAAGATAGATGCAACTAACCCATTCATAATGTTATCTGATACAAAAATTGTAGTCAACCAAAGTGATATGATACAGGTTATAATTTACGTAGGGCATGATTTTCCTCTGTGGCATATAGCACATTCTAGCAAATTCAAATTCATATAACATTTTCTTGGCATTTCAAGAAAAGAACAGGCAAAGAATGCTGGATTCCTGTACTATGTGCATATGGCCTGGCTTAGTATTCTCTTATGGTAATTGGAAAGCGGAACTGCTCAAGGCGGCAGACGTTCGAAGAATGGTAGGCTACTCCGCTAAACTCTGCAATATACAACTCTTCTGTGTAACAGCTTATCATGGTAATTCCTTGGTTAATTAGACTTTACAAACACCAGATCAAATGCTACTACATATGTCTGATATGTGGCTGTTAAATTGCCGGGTAGAGGGTTTGTTTTGCAAAATTTTCATATTGAGTTGCTTATTGATGGGACTTAAATCTCTAAGTGTTTCCAAACATAGCTCATAAGACATATCAGGAAGGAATAGTAAAAAGTATGCCTAAAAGCTTTCTTTGTCCTGTACATCAGGTGAAGAAGTGGCAAGACCCAGGCGTTCCACACCAACTCCAGAACTTATAAGGTGAGCATGGAAGGCGTTAGTTGTGTTTTATGTAAGGCTTCATGCAGTGTTAACAATTCAGCAAATCTCCTTTAGGCTGAACCCTCAACTTCTATTAATAAAGGCTCTGTTCATACGTAAGTCCATAGCATGATTCAAGTACGTTATCATTTCTCAGAAGTGCAACCTGAGGAAGATCCTTAGGGGGAAGAACTGTAGAGTCATCTAAAGTGACTCTCTATCAGAATGTGTAGGCCCCTCACTAATGGGAGGGTTAAAGTCTGTATGAAGAGGACTTTTGGTGTTTGCAATGCTGATCTGATACATGATTATATTGCCCTATAAAGAATAACCTGTTCAGTTGGATCCAATTTTGTGATGCATTGCACCTGTCATACACCAAAAGAATCTTCTATTTGTTTTTTTTTTTTTTTGTCTTTGACAAAACATTGTATTTTTGCACTGTGTATCCTTTGGGTTAAGTACTGTACAAATTGGCATTGTTTTCCAAAAAGACTACTATTTCTATTTAAAAGGTGGATCTTTTTCATTTTCCCTCCTTCTCCAGCCCGACTCCCCCTTCACCTCTTACTCCCAGTACACAGACACACACACACACACACACAGAGAGAGAGAGAGAACTCATCAGGATCAATGAGGGGGTTCAGGTCTGGGAAGAAATGAAGATTATGCAGCCTTTTGTTAATAATCAGTTTAAGTAATAATTAGGAGAAAAGGTAAGATTTTAACTTATTCCCTCCTTTCCCCTTGATTTCTCAATGTTCTTTTTCTGAGATAAGCTGTGTTTAAGGTATTAGGAGGTTATAGCTAGTCTATTGTGTTTGTTGGTTGGGGAGACAGGATGGAAATTAGAAACTAGTAGACCTAGTTTCTGATTCAAACACAAACTTCCTGGGTGGCTTGTCATTTAACCTCCCTATACCTGACTTTCACTAATCACCAACCGCATTAACTACAATACAGAGATGTGATGAAGACAAATATAAATGGTTTTTGAGATCCGAAGAGACTAAGGTGCTTTGCAATAAACTGTTATCTCTAGTATTATCTCTTCTAGATATAGAGAATCATGATGATTTGAAAGAGTTTTTCTTTTTCAACTCATTTCTATTGGGCCATCTCCTTGGTTTCCCACTGAGAACTGGGGATCTTATCTCCTACTGATTCTCTTGGTCCATAATACATTTGACATTTTTACGTATACTTTCTAGCCCCATGGGAGCTTCCATTCATGCCTTTGTACACACACATCTATCTGCCTTACCATGAAAAATACTCGAAAGCTTGTATATCTTTTTAGCATTAATATTCCCTTTCTCTCTGTTTTGTTTTAATCTGTGTGATCTAGCAAAAAGCCTACAGATGACACTATGGCCCTTGCTCCCCTCTTTGGTCCACCATTAGAATCAGCTTTTGATGAACAGAAGACAGAAGGTAGGAAAAGTGTGTATCTCTATAGATTTTTTTCTTTTCACTGAAGTATAACTTGCCTTGAGCAAAAGTATGTGTTTTGAGCCATGTACCATCAGATCCTCAAGGGAAAGAAAAGTTCTGATCTAGGTGTGCTGTTGGAACAAGAGTTTCATTTGAAAACCTCCAGTATTTTAGGATTTGAAACTTTACTTCTGGAAATATCAAGTAGCTAACAAGTTCACTCCTCAAAAGCGGTTGGTAAGAATTATTGCAAATGGATACAAATCACTGGAAATAAGTCAGGGAATAAGTGCTCTGTGAGCCAAACGGTCATCATGGTGGAGCCAGACCTTCACACTCCCTGGCAGAGTCACTGTCACGGTGATCCAACCTCCCCGACCACATTTACTCTCTTCTCCACCTGGTTGGTGGAAGTGTCAATTGGATTGCTCACAACAGACTTGTTTGCAGGCTCGAGACCCAGGAATGACCTTGAATCACTGAGCAACTTACAAATAAAATGTTGCGGAAAAAATATCAATTCAGCCATTATTATTGGGTTTACCTACTAAATATTTACTCCTAGAATGAAATATTTAACTTTTTAAAATTAACCATCTTTTTTGGATGGCTATAAATAGTATACACCTTGCTTGCAAAAATGAAGCTCCTTATAAAAGGGATCCAATCTATTCCTGAAATGTATTTATGCCCAGTGCATGTATCTCTGGTATCTGTGTTTGGTGAAAAGTCATTTGATCTAAAAACGCTGTGGTATGTGTATAATAAAATGTTATTTTTTATACTGTTGGTCGAAGAAATCAAGCTTAACTGTTAAGGACAACAGGACTTGAAAGCATAATGAGTAGACTGCACTACAGTAGCAAAGAGACTCCAAAGAGACTCCAAAGAGACTCCAAAATTCTATATTGTTTAACTCCAAAGGACTTAAACAATATAGAATTTTATTTCTGTTTTATGTCAAAAATCTCAAGGTAAACAATATAAGACTGGTAGGGTGGGTCTGCTATTCTTAACATGTGGCCTTTGTCTCTGGGTCCAGAGGAGCTGGTCCAGCTCTCATCATCTCCCAGTCAGAATAAAGTGGGGAGGCGGTAGGGGACAGGGAGGACTAGTATACTCACTGCCAATTCCTGTGAGGGCAAAATCTGCAAGAGACATATGTCACTTTAGCCAGAGCCAATCAGAGAGAATTTAGTGCCATATGGCCAGCTAGAACTTTTTAACTGAAGAGAAATGGAGAATGGATACTGGAAGAGAGCTAGCAGTCAACCGCATCAAAATATTTTTCAATAATTAAGTTAGGAAAATGCATAAGGAACATCCCTAAATTGCTCCTTCAGGGATTTGAATGTCTACAACTTAGAATCCCTAAGTAAAGGTGGCCTTGCAATGAGTCTGTTAGTTGTCTTACCAACTCAACTCTGATCAAGTTTGTTTTTTAATGACTAAATTGTGTAATGACTAAAGGTGGGATTTGATCTGTTGCCTCTGCATCTAACTATTAAAGGAATTCCATGACTGTATGGAAACTTGATTTACAAAATAGAAAACGGTTTTTAAAAAATCAAGGTTGTGTCCCACATCAAATCCATAAAAAAAAATGCTGCTTCACATCTTTGGATAATATTTGCTTTCATGTTAAAACAGAACTAAGAGCATCTTTGGGTTTGTGATGGAGAGGAGATACACACCTGAACTGGTCTATGAGCCTGGCTTGCTTTGTCTTGAGGCGGTTTCACCCCCAAAGTTCTATAAAGTTCCAACCTTTGCACCAAGCACACTAGCTCTTCCAATATCCACACTTACCTTTCAGATCGACTCACTCCCACTTCTTTTTATTGATTCTCCCATCACTAATTTAAAAGGCCTGGGGGGAGAATATGTATTTTGGAGTTAGGTGTGCATGCCCAGGATCAGATCTTGGCTCCTCTACCTCACCAGGTAGCTCTTGGGCATGTTATTTAATCACTTTAATCTTTGCTTCCCCTGCTGAAAATGGTACTAATATCAACCACCGGGCGGTGTTGTATGGATTAGAATACCTACTAATATCTACTGGCCTTGGGATAAGTGTGTTATATGGATTTTGTATACCTTGTATTTATTTGTATTATCTCCTGTGATCCTTTTAGTAACTCTCAGATTGCTCTTATTATCTCTACACCGAAGGAAGGGAAGCTCAGAGGTGAAACCCCTGGCCCAAGGTCCTACAGTCTTAACTGTAAAGACAGGATTCAAATTCACATCCCACTAACTTCCCAGCCTGTATTTTACAACATAATGAATTACAAGCAGTACTTATATAGATCCTGGCACATGATATGTGCAGAGAAGATCTGGTTGTTTACATTGTTACCATAGCAATAAAAAAAAAATCTAAACAAGGAGACAGAAGAAATAGAAACAAATTAGGTTCAGTATCATTAGACCCAATACCTAATTTCTCTGATTTACTTTAAGTGTGGAAACTCTTATTTATTTTCTGGTTTTCTTAAGATATTTACCAAACATTTTTAGAATAATGTCATTTCTCTTTATGATGCTGTAAAAGGCTTATTTAAAGACCCTCTATGATCCTTTAAAGCTATGAACCACTCTACAGAACCCAGGAATTTTCATTTCTGTAACCTATTCACACCAAACTTTAAATAAACCAACTTGAAATGACTGTCCATGGGATTAACGCCTGGATCTTTAAATGGGCACCAGAAATAGAACCAGTATATGTACTGACACTCAGAATGTCCTTAAGTGACCAACCAAGAAGAAAATACAGATGCTCTATTTTGAAAGTTTTTATTCAGCTTTGTGTGCACACACTGACACCCCTACCATCACCACACACACACACACACACACACACCACTGCCATTTGCATTCTTTGCTTGAAAAGCATGAGGAGTAGCACACTTCTGAATTACTCTGCTAGGACTGAGGCAAGAGGGAGATAATTTTGTGAAGCTCAACTTTAAATTGAAATTTTAAGTTCTAAAATCCAGGAACGTTTCTTTTTTGAACTCACCCTGGGAAATTTTCTTTTATGTTTCCAGTTCTTTTAGATCAGCCTGAGATATGGGGTTCAGGCCAACCAATTAATCCAAGCATCGAGTCGCCAAAGTTAACAAGGCCTTTTCCCACTGGAAGTAAGTTATGTGTCTGCTGTGTCTGGAAAAATAAGTGACTCATTTTACTGTCTGTCTGCATAGTGAAATTAGGCAACTTGTAGAAAGTACGTAAGCAACATTTGGACTATATAATATTAAGAAAAGATGTGATTCTAATAGGCTTTAGACTTAAAGGGGCCTAGGGCAGTTTGTCAAGGCAAGAATAATATAATAAAGTAAAATTATTACCTTTGAATCATAGCCTCTTCTGACATCCTATAGGCTCATTCATTCATTCATTCAATATGCATATATAAGCGGGAGAAGCAAGGAAGGTAAAGAAACCAACCATGCTCCAGGTACTGGGCTATCACACAACACAAAAGTGAACAAATCAGATAGTCTCTGTGAGTCCTACAGGACAAGGAGGGTGCATGGGACAGAAAGGACACATTGAGACGAAAGAAGGATAATTGGAGAGCAAGAGAAATGATGCTATTTGGTGGGAAGCTGAAACAGGAGGTCAGGGCAAACTTGTCTCAAATCAGGGGCTGCGAGCACTGCTATTCCAGTACGCCCCCCACTTCCTCCTGAAGATGCTCTTCACCTGTAGTGGGTTGGACTATTTGGCCTGAATGGATTGCTCCTTTGGTCAAGCCACCTGCTTGATGTATTTCTTGAGTTCTCATTTCATTGGACTTCCCATAGTGTATGTGCTTGTGGAAAGCACTTGTTAAAATGCCTATAGGAAGAAGACTGGGTCTCGGAGAAAGGAGTTTGGGGGTGTGGTGGGATGCAGAGAGTATTTTCGTTTTGTGAAGCTCACGTACACACCAATTAATACTCTTCCAGTTCAGCAATCCCAGGGTTCTACTTTATGGGGCCCAAAAATAATCATCGGAATTAACCAAGGGGATTCCTGATCAAAGGCCCATGAGGTTGTTTGCTGGAGATATTGCTATAAAACCATGTGATCCGGTCTTTTCAAAGATATTTCTCTCATAAAACAGGACAGGAAAAACAGCATCACCAATGACTATTTTAAGCATCTAAACTTTTCAAGATGTGCTTTGAAAGTATATGAACCCCAGTGGGGTGACTTTGAATGATTCTCTCTACTACTGAGAAACAAAGCCAGCAAAAAACTCTAACTTCCTTGAAAAGCTTTCTTGAGAGACCTGAGCCACCCAGATTATTCCTAGAAAACCTTTGCTAGATGCCAAGAAAGGACATAAATGAAATGTTTATGTAGATGATGTATTGATTTCAAGACCAATTATTGGCATTTTCGAGTTTTCTGATTTTATGTGGTGTGGTTACACTTAGCACAGCAAAGGCTGTTGCAGAATCAATGTGTATTGGATAATTTTATTCATTTCGCGATTGCAGCATAAGTTTGCTACTTTAGATTATTAGGCTTTTATGGTGTTTTATGTGTTTTTGTTGATTATGACCTTAATTTTTGCAGAGAACCTTAGCCAGAAACAGAGCCACTGATTGACTCTTAGCTTCTATGGAAAAACATGATCCATTTGAGGTGTAGTTTTCAGAAGCTCATAACTAAGATTAGGAGCCACATATTTCTGGGCTTTAGGAAGATAGCTGTTAGTCATGCCTCTTGTGTAGAAAGACAGGATGCTTTCTAAAATTAAATGAAGTCAGGTGGGGGTGGAGTGACAGAAAGGGGCTCTTTCTAGTGCAGGCAGGCAGAGGGTACTGCCAAGCTCTCTCCAGCCAGCGCCCAGCTGACCCACTCTGCTTTTAGGTCATGGAAGTTTGGACAACATTCAAGATTCACAAATGAACTTGAGTCTGGTTTATGAGACTAGTGTGAACTCTTTGAATCTACCAAACATAGCCAGCGACAGGAAAACATGCATTTAAAGAGAGAATAAGAAAAAAAAAATGTACCTGTTGATACAGTAATCCCTCACCTTGCCCACAAAATGACAAGTCCAGTTCAGAAGACTGAATCTCTGGGCTGGGGCCATAAGACAATATTTTTTCTATCCCAGGGGGTTTGGTTCACCATCATTTTTACCAAGGGAATCTGTATATTTTCTCTTGCCCTCAATCATATTGCTTCAGACTTTCAAAAATATACTAAAAGTTAAGATGTATAACTTTGAGACATCCTCCCAGAATCCATCTAGGCAATACTATCTTGACCATATTAAAAACCCCTCACCCGAGCCTCCACCAAGACATTCTCATTCCCTTCACCACACCCTGGATTGTGATCATCTGTTAACATGATATTCATTCATTCAATCATGAATTCCTTGAGGACAGAGGCTGCTTTTATTCAACCCCATGCCCCCAGTTCCTAGTACGATCTGGAACTTTGCCGGTGCTTGAAGTTTGTCAAATAAAGGGATGAATGAATAAAATGATGACATTATTATTGTTATCATCTGACGTCCTTTTGACAGATTCTTATTATCATAAAACGGACAAATCTGAATGGGTCCTGCTTCCGTTTCTTAGCTCTGAACTGAAAAAAATTTAGACCATTAATGGTTATAGCATTTCCAATAGCAAGAATATGAATGAAAGCCCAAATCCTGCTTATCTACAGAATATTTGTAACTTATGGAGAAAGTGATCGATGATGCTCGGTTTCTGTGTCTTTGCAGCACCCCCACCACTGCCTCCCAAAAACGTACCAGCCACCCCACCCCGAACGGGCTCCCCGCTCACAGTTGCACCAGGTAAGCTTCAGGTTTTTCGGTGCTGGGATGATAACAGCAATCAGCAGTGGCCCTGGACCTCAACCAGCCCTGGACATGTCAGGAACTGTAGAAACTCAAGCATGAAAATGTTTGCACTGGGTTTTCCTTCCATGACAATTTACTATGCAGACTTATTTTAAAAAGTATCACTCTCAGGTTTCACAAAAAGTTTCACTTTCTCAACTCCTTTTTCCTCTGTATCATTTTGTTGAATGAGGGTCACATTTACTTGTGAGATGAAAGAAAAAGAAAATCTCAATATCAAAAGTCTTTGTCTAATTGGCCCTTCACTCCGTTGGATCTTATGTTAATGATTTACGAATTAAAAAATCTCAAGGCACAATTCGTATTTTCCCAAGAACCGATCATTGTTTTTCTAGAATTAAAACTGTCTGATCTACGAAGACATAGAATGGTTCCCAGGATGTGCAGCCTAAGCTTGGGAGGTGGGGAATTTTTTTTCCCAGGAATCATTATTATCCCATGGTGAAGAGATGTGTAAGGATAATGAAATATGGCAAAGAATTGCCACATGCCTTTAGACAAATCATTTCTAAGGCACATCTTTACCTTCTATTAAAATCAATATTACATATTCATGCAATTTATAATCTACCTTGTCCTATTGGGCCAGCAAGTCAAAAGCTATAATTGCTGTTATGTGTCTGGGCCCTTAGAATATGGTTCTTTATCCCCTTTGGAATTTTATTGCTGCTTTGTCCTTTGCTATTTTTGCAGGCTGGTGAGTTTGATAGCTACAGAGTAGGTATTTATCAACAAGACCAAGTGCAAGGCGTGGTCATTTTTGAAATTTATATTGATTAAAACCCAACGAAGAATCATCCAGAGCATCATAGGTAAAGGTGTTTGCAAGTTCAAATCATTTTGGCTCCTTGTATTCCCATAAATATGTTAGATATAAATAAATCTACCAGCAACAAAATTATAAATAGTGTGGGACATGCAAACTGCTACCCCATTTATCTGTAGCCTTGGAGCCTTGAAGGTTAATTCTTTTCTAATGTGAAATATGGAAGTACTGAGGCAGCGCTTAGAGCCGATGAGTTATTTAAAGGTAAAGTTGCCTCTGCTTATGCTTTGCAATCATTCAGGGAACAGCTTCTAATTTCAATAACCTCAGTGTTTAAAAAGTACACTTCCTCACATTGCAGTTGTTTTCAAGCATTTCCTGCCAAGCTGTAGAAGATAGTTTTAAATTTTTTTCTCTTATTACTGGTAAGAATTAAAGAGAAGAACTGATGCTAATGTTGAAGCAAAACCGAGATTTTCCGTTTCATGACTCCAGATAGATGTATATCACAGTTATACCTATGATGTTAACAGGTTAGACTTGATGGGAAAAGAAATTATAAAGATGTTTTGACAGTTTTCCTCCCTATTAAACAAGTATATACAAAGCAGTTCTGATAAGTAGTAGATGTCTTCTCAATAACCTGTGTGTGTTGTATGTGGGATGTATATGTGTGTGTTTGTAAATACACGTGTGGAGATATTTCTTTAAATAACCATTGTACTGTGTTTCTGGTGTATTTAAGGTGGAGGATGTACAACTAATTATGATATAATAATTTTTTAAACTAAAAGATATTATTAGTCTCACCAAACATTTTAATATGCTAGAGCAGTCTTTGTCAAATATGAGGGTGATTTTCAGCTATCAATTATTTTTCTACTGTGCTGTCTACTAGAGGCTAGACTTTCAGAAGGGACCTCCCTTTTGGGATTGCAGTTCCAGAGCCTGAACTCTGTGAACCTTTTCAAAGTGCAGCCTTTTCAAAGTGATCAATCACCCTTTGCACTCTTGTGAGCAGACTTTGAGAACAGTAGCATGCTCAGCGCTTTCAATGGTGGTAAAAATAGCTACCTGGGGTCACCTAGCAGAAAGGGCAAAATAACAGCATAAGAAGATGATGCTCACATTATGGAGGCAGGGAATGCTCTCCTCCCCTTCAGCTCTGATCCAGTTATTTTTACACCTCACAGGGCAATCTGTTTACTATTCTTTACCTCACCCTTCCCTCCCCGCCCCATACAAATAATATTCACCAAGTCAATTAAAGTTAAAAATCAACTACTTTAACCACAGGAAATGACCAGTCAGCCACAGAGGTCAAAATTGAAAAACTACCATCAATCAATGACTTGGACAGCATTTTTGGCCCAGTGTTATCCCCCAAGTCTGTTGCTGTTAATGCTGAAGAAAAGTGGGTCCATTTTTCTGATACGTCCCCGGAACATGTTACTCCAGAGTTGACTCCAAGGGAAAAGGTGGTGTCCCCACCAACTGCATCAGACAACCCATCTGACTCCCCAGCTCCGGGCCCCCCGGGCCCTCCAGGCCCCCCAGGACCCTCTGGTCCTCCTCGAAATGTACCGTCGCCGCTCAATTTAGAAGAAGTCCAGAAGAAAATTGCTGAGCAGACCTTCATTAAAGATGATTACTTAGAAACAATCTCATCTCCCAAAGATTTTGGGCTGGGACAGAGAGCAACCCCACCTCCCCCACCACCACCCACCTACAGGACTGTGGTTTCATCCCCTGGACCTGGCTCGGGCAGTGGTACGGGGACCACCAGTGGTACGTCTTACTGTTTGAGTGTGCTTCATGTGCCCGGGAATGGCCGTGGCTGCTGCAGTGTGAGCGACACCCTCCTCCTGCCTGGCAGTTGGCTTTAGAGCTTCAGCCATCCCTCCTCTGGTTTGGGTGTTCCATGGCCCCATGGCATGTCCTAGTGCATCGAATGCTAACCGTCATAGTGCGAGTCTGTGATGTGCTCTGCCCTGCACTCCTAGCGCTCCTTAGGAGCGCCCTGCCTTCCACCCTGCAGTTAGGAAGTGCATATTTTTTAAAGGAAGCTGCTTTGTCATTGTTTGGAATTCAGGAAAGTTCTAGAAAGGCAGATTTCATAGCCAGTGAGTTTCATGCTGAGTGTCTCATTTCCCTGTCAGATGCCTGTACAAGAACGTTTTTTAGTTTGTTTTGTTTTCAGCTTTATTGAGATATCATTGGCAAAATTATGAGATATTTAAAGTGCACAATGTGATGACTTGAGATATAGATAGAGATGATATAGATATAGTAAAAGATTTCCTCCCATCGAGTTAATTAGCACATCACATATTTACCTTTGGGGGGGTTGGGCAGGGGGAAGGGTGAGAACATTTAAGCTCTACTCTCTCAACAAATTACAATTATACGATATGGTGTTATCAGTTATACAATACAGTGCTATAGCCACCGTGTTATGCATTAGATCCTCAGACTGTATTCATCTTATAACTGAAAGTTATACTGTTTTCTTCCCAAGGATCCTAATTTTGGTAGGTAGGTCAATGTGTTCTTTCTTCTTCGACTTCTTTTCTTTTTCCTTTCTTTCTTTTTCTGTAGGGGCAGAGCCATGTTAGCCCCTCTAATTACTTCAGAAAAAAAGAAGTAGCGTTTGAAAAGATTTTTTAGGGGACAGCAAATAGAATGTACCTTACTATATCCACGATATATCAAACTGCCACTGAAGACAAATGATTCTTTGATTTTATTTTGATAAGCTCATCAGCCTGTGAAGTCAACTCTAAGCATGGTGACAGGTGATGGAGAAGTCTAACAGAAATGGACATTTGGGACCCTCTATGCAAATGTTGATGTTGAATCTAACATTTTGGTTTTCCTTCTTTGAAACTTCATTTTGTGTTCTCATCCTATAAAAAGATGGCAACAGCTGCCATGCACACCGAAAAAGATCAAGATTTTCTAATGTCTCTTCTTCCATATTTTTTCTTCTACTGGTGCTCACACTGATCTGGCAAGAACCCCCCCGCCCAAGTGCCTTCCTTCCTGGGCCTGTGGGTTCAGTTTAGGCACCTTCTGAGTTTTTTGTTTTTCATTTGCTTTGGAAGAGGTGACCAAGTTTATGCTATTTAGATCTAGTAAGAGACAGGAAGGAAAGACATTTGTCCCCACTCTAATAGCCAGTTGAATAGTCCTCTTTCAATGGAGTATTTCAGTGCTTGCTCTGTGTTTGAAAATTCCTGTGCTTCAAGCATCCAATCTGATCAAGGAAAGGGCTGGAGAGTCACCTGTACCCAACACAAAACTGATGTTTTGTATCATTGCGTGTGCCCTAGGTGCCTTCCTCCACCAAAAAAGGAAAACTACTCAATACGCAAATAAATTTGGGGAACACTGTGTTAAAATAAAATCAGCAGGTTTCTTTACCATAGGACCTCTGACAGCCTTTAATTTGCCGATAATAACAGCTATAGTTTCTTCTCCTGGGTATCATCTTAATCCTTTGTGCACATCATTTCATCCTTAAAACAACCCCATGTGATAAGTGCTCTCTTATTTCTATTTTACAGCTCTGTAAACTTGGGAAAACTGAAGCTCAGGGATGTCAAGTAATTTTCCCAAGTTTACACAGCTATGGGTGATAGACTTGGGATACTCAGTCATATTCAGGTCTGTCTGATTCTAAGCCTGTGCTCTTAACCCCGGAGCTCTCCCAGCACTCTTTTAAAGTTTAGTTACAAAATATCCCAAACTTATTTGACCACTGACACCCACCTATTCTGCCCTGTGTCATCAACAAAATCACCAACAGTTTTCTCTCAAAACCCACTCTCTATGCTCCTCTCCATAATTCTAGAAGGTTAGAGCACCCACCTTCATCCTCTGTTGCGTTTTTAGATCATTTTGGGAATATAAGCCTCCTTACATATCTGTAAAGGTAATAAAAGGACCCTACTTAAAGCCTTCATTTCAAACTTCAAACCTGTCTACTGTCAAAGAGGGGAGTGCTTCCAGGGTCTTCTATGGTGCTCTTGTCCCAGGGTGAAGCTCTCATCTTCTGAAAAGGCTTCTAGAGGAATAATCCCCTTGTTCCAGTGGTGGGCCACTGTGCTTTCCTCAAAATGAACATGTTTAGCTGGGGAAAGGGAGGACAGGGCAGATCTGTCGCTCCTCTGTTTCTTCCATCACTTTCCACGAGACTTGGGAAGACGTTTAATTGAATTGACCACTGATCTAATGAGTGAAGAAGGGAGCCTTGGCCTTCTTCCTGAAATCTTTGAGAATTTTGTTGTCATCTCTATGTTTAGCTTTGTAAATTATTTAAAATTGTTTTTAGGTGTTACCAGTAAAGACTCTTGATTCTTAATAATTGAGCTGGAAAAAGACTATACTTTGTTGGTAAAAGATGGGATTTCTAAGTGGAAGACTGAACTGGGTCAATGAAGCTCATGAATAAATAAAACTTTGCACAATTATCTCCTTAATTAAGTCCCAGTTTATTTGCCATTTAATGTTTTATTGATGGAATATACACAGACTAGCAGAAATGTATTTTAGAACAATGAGAGATGGCCTCATGTTTTAAAGATTAGCAATGCTTCTCAAGACCTCCTTTTTATAACACTTAGCCTGATGAGACTAGATTTTCCTGTACATCTCAAACTATATTTAACTGGGTACCATTATGCTCAATTTTAAAATTTCATTCACTTGATCACTGACCAAGCGTAGACAGTACACGCAGCCTTGTGAATCAGTTGAGTTACCTGATGTTGAAAAACAGTTGGATTCAGGATTTGCTCCAAGAACTTTGATTTCCTTATGGCAAAGTTATAAATACCTAGTTTGGCCAGAACTTTGCTTTATTGGAATGCAGATGACAATTCTCTTGGCAGAGGCCATTTCTTCTTCCTTGTGGGTGGTGTGCCAGGGAATGGGAAGGAGAAAGAGTTTTATTGGCCTGTGGAGACCAGGGAAAGAGAGATGTCAGTAAAGATAGAATGTTCAGTGCAACACTTTCCAATTTGAGAAACTAAGGCAATATTAGAAGATGTTATACACACACACACACATTTATAAACAACTGGGTTTAACCTAAACAAATATATTTCCTAACTACATGTCTTTTAGAGTGGCAGAGTCCAATTAGGGAGGCCACTAGCCAGCAAAGAGAGATGGAAGTTGAAGCAATCGTTATGGGGCTTTCAAGGGGCTACCAAAAAAACTATGTTAGAACTTCAAGTTGAAGCAGCAAATGGATTGAAAGCACGTCAATGGCTGTCAACTTTTTTGAACTCACAAAACTCAAATAACATACAGGTGATTTTTAAAGTTAAACCTGAAAGAGCAAATGTCCAGTTTTTTTTCCCAGCACTGCTCTTGGGAATAAATACTGCTTGTAGAAGAAATGAAAATATAAGATCAGAGAATGAGTTTAGAGACGTGCAAATAGTCTTCTACACTCTTAGAATACGAAACAATTGTGCAGCCTCAAAAAAGCATGGGAAACCTCAGTTCACTTATAAAATCTCCCTCAGGCCCTGACTACCCTCTGCTGAACCTCAGGTTTTGTCAAGATGGTTTTGCTTCTTAAACACTGCCTCAGTGTCTTTCTAACTGCACAACAAATCAATTAAATCAATCCAGTTAGGAAAAAGTGAAAAGAAGACAGTTAACTAGCCACTTTTTTCTTTGCTTTTAGTTGTGTCTTTATGAAAAGACAGTCTTTACCATCATCATCAACACCTATTCTCTTTTATTTGTGTATCATTTTATAGTTTACTAAACACTTGACAAGCATTTTCCATTTCAATTGTTACAACTACCCTGTAAGGTAGAAATGTTTCATTTCTGGTTCAGAGAGGTTAAAATCCCACAGCCGATAAGAGCCAGGCAGGGCCAGAACTCAGATCATCTGCCTTTTCATTCGGTTTTTCTCATTATTCCATACTGCTTTGCTGACAACCCCAATATTAACTTTCCCAAGCATTACTGACAGTGATTTTCAAAACTTTCCCTCTTAGAACACATGGAAAAAAGATAAGCAGCTGACCTTTTCCTGAGCTTGATTCAGAAGACTATTTCTTGGAAAAAGACCCATGGATAGATATTTTGAACCATCCTTATGGTGTGGTTTTCCAGTGAAACAGAACCTAGAAAGAGCCCCATGAAACTTCCTGACAAAGACTTTGTTGTTTAAAGGTTTATTTTCCATCTCTCTGCTGTTACTTCTGTTTCCTGAAAACATCCTGGGTGTCAATCTATTAAGTCAAAAGGAAACTTTGTAGTGGGACCTGTCAAAACATATCTTCTTTTTTTTTATTCAAGAAAAGATTATCCAAAGACTAAAAATATTTACATTGAGAGAGATGTTGGCAAGCTGCTGTTGGAAAAGTAAGAGCAGACTTTATGCAAAATGTGGGACTTCACATTCCATCTAAAGCTACAAGACACTGCATTTAAGAGCTTGAGCTTTGGAGTTAAATCAACCATCTGAGCTATGGGACCTTGAGCAAGTTACTCAATATCTCTGAGCTCTCGTTCTGATTGAGATAACTACAGTACATTCCTGCAAAACTTAGTGTGGGGATTAAATAAGATAATGCATGTGAAGTGCCCAGCTTCGATCTTGGCCCAATAAAATAAAAAGAAAGAATACAGTAAAAAAGTGGTAGCGGTGGTGAGGCAGTAGGGATAGGGATGGAGGTGGCGGTAATTTTAGCAGGGTTTCACACTAACGAAATTACACTTAGAATAAACAGCACAGAGAAACACAACACACTCAATATTTCAGGTTGTATTTAAATAAGGGGAGCAAGGTTTACCCCCAGGGACTCTCCTAAGCTGAGAGCAGATTCCAAGATGATGGGTTTTGTTGTTCAACTTCAAAGCTCTTTGGGAATCTGGAGATCTGGAGATGGAGATTAGCAACTTGCTGATCTAGGTTTCTCCAGAGAACACAGTTTTGTGGCATGTTGGATGACAGGAGAGGAGTGGGCAGTTATTTTCCTGAGGTGGGATTTCTTAGAATGTTTTGAAATGATCTGATACCTGTGCTTCTAACCAAAGTGACAAAACCTCCGGAGTAGTTGGAACTTTGCTGAACAAGCACTGTTTGGAATATTGATCTGAATTTCTTCAGGTTTGGAGTCAAGTAGTTTATCCATGTACCCCAGACATCTGGCTAAGGATAGACCGACGCCTGAGTCTCGAGACCCTACTGGTGTGTTGATTAGTGTGCATGCCGACCTCTGTGTGTCTTCTGTGTTTCCCATGTTTGTCATTGACAGCCAGAAAAGTAAATCCAAGAGGCTCTTTTCAAAATCACCACAAAAATCATCATGGGCCAACTCTACATAGAATAGATTACTAAGCAGCCTCTTTCAAAAAATACAATCCTCTAAATTCAGTGTGATTCTGTTACTAAGATTCTAAATGCAAATTACTTGTGCAACATCTAATTTACTTTCTTATGGTTCCATCCTTTGCTTACCATCAAATGTTTACTTAGATTTATTAAAGTTAGCATTCATATTTTGAAGCACAGTAAAAAAGATAATTCTCTTATACATTTTTTTAAATATATATATATATGTATATATATAATGTGGAAAAATCATTCACCTTCCTTCAAGGTCTAACCTCCATTTCCATCTTGGACATAAATTCTGAATATGCAAAAACAAGAGAACTTATTATAAGTTTGGTGTGTATGTGGTCAAAATGAAAGGTCCTCACCACCAGGCTAAAAGTGTCTTAAAGCATATTTTCCATCACAGAGAATAATAAAAGGATTTACCTTTCACTGGGTGTCACATGACAACAAAAGGCAATAAGCTTCAGCTTCTGCCATCGGCTCTAGTTCAACTGAGTGATTTTTTTTCTTTATTAAAAAAAAAAATACCACACACACACATACATACTAGATGCTAGAGTGTTGAGTGTACTAACTGCTGGGGTGAAGAAAATTGTCTGGGACTGGTGCTGTCCTGGGGGGCATGGGGAAGGAGGATTCCACGATGAGAGCTCTTGGCCACGCATGGTTCTGGCCGTTGTTAATACCAGCTTGTTTTTCAGGTGCATCATCCCCTGCTCGACCAGCCACTCCCTTGGTTCCCTGCAGCAGCACCACCCCTCCACCGCCTCCTCCCCGGCCTCCATCTCGGCCAAAGCTACCTCCAGGAAAACCTGGAGTTGGAGATGTGGTATGTTCCCTTCTGCCCCGGCTTGCTCAGAGACTCATGGTGAAAATGACAAACAGAAGCCAAAATGCCGCAACACAGGCTACCTCAATGGCCTCCTATCAGTTGGACAAATGGCCCTGACATGTGGCATCTGAAAGGCGGTCACTGCAGCGTGGGTGTACATTTTGACCCTCCCTCAATCTCCACCACCTTTCAAGTCGAGGTCTAAAATGATAGGAATAGGAGGCTGGGGTTCTCGGTTCTGCCAGCCTGGGTCTGATGCAAATTAAGGTAGTAATGCTCAGTTGTGCTAAGACCTTTAGAAAGAGAGGTGTTTTCTTTCACTCTATTTATCCGGCTTGGGAAGACTGCAAGAGAGGGTAAGTCCTGGTTTCCATCCCCAGACTAAGAGAACTTACTGGTGTTAAGCACACCGTGTGAATACAGAGGAGGGTGGTAGCCTGATAAATTTGTTCCAGAAGTTTCTTGCATCGTGTTTTAAGGCTGAAGAGGTGGCAAACATTCTGTGTGAACAATTGAGAGACTCCTGGAAGAGGAACATGTCTTTGCTATCCTCGCACAGGAGTCACAAACTGGGTGATGTCCATAATATTTGGTTTAGCTAGCACAGTTGAGTATACTGTATTTAAATATGTTTAAATGGGTTTAAGCTCTCACGGGAGGTTACCTGCTTAGTCCCTGAGGGCACGTAGCTTCACAGTCCTGAAACATCACAGATCTCAGCTTCTCTAAGCCTGATGTACCTGCACACTGTGATCGATGGTTCCTTTAGCTCCATCCACAAACTCCTGTAGAGATAGAATCAATTTCAAGATAAAAATGGTGTCACCTATACTCTTTTAAGAACCTGAGTTGTCATACCCAGAGGTGGAAGATGTCAAAAACATGGAACAAGAGTCTCCAACCTGCTTATCTAATTTTCTTCTCTTTTCTTCTCCCTGCAGCCCAGACCTTTTAGCCCTCCCATACATTCTTCCAGCCCTCCTCCGATAGCACCCCTTGCCCGAGCTGAAAGTACTTCTTCAATATCATCCACCAATTCCTTGAGCGCAGCCACCACTCCCACAGTTGGTAAAAATTATCTCCTGTCTTTTAATCTGTTTGTTGTTGTGACTGGCTATTTTTTATCATCTGAAAACCTCAAGGCCCTATACTTCTGGTTGAAATTGTTTTGCTCTGTGTTCTGCTACTATCAGCTGACTCTTCTTTTAAAAGCACCTTCTCAGCAAAGGAGGCGAAATGCTTCAACTAAGCAAATAAACAAATAAAAGAACATTAACACCTGTATTTTGCAGGAATTCTCTTATGCTATTCCATACAGAGCTACTCATAAAAGTAAAGAAGAAATCAACAAATAAGGTCCAGTAATTTACATATCATTTCTATCATAAAAAATAGTCTCCTTTGAGGAGGAATGTTCATTTAAGTTCCAATCGTGTACCACATCAGAACTCACGAAATTTTGATCTTTTATTTTCTTAAAGCTTTCATTTCTTCATCACTTTTGGTTGACCTTATGTTGACAGATGGTATAAGTGTTGGCATTGTGGGACTTGAGTAAACTTTTTGACATTCTTTTCTAGTGCTTTTCAGTGATGTGTGGTCAGTTTTCCCTGAGAAATAAGTCATTGCTGGCATTTTCAGTAAATGCCTTTGTGCCTCTTTCCTTATGGTGTGATGAAAGTCAAGAGTTGAGAATGGCTGCTCAGCTGGAAGGTTTTCCCAGGTTTAAATGCCTCATTTTGCCTGGAGCATCTTTCTTCTTCCCAAGGCTGATCTCTCTCTACACCTCTTCACCCATCTTCCATAAGCTGCTGCTTCTTTCATGTTTGCATGGTGTCTCTGACCTGGGGCTCCACCCTTCCATTTTTTCCCATTGTCTTCCTTTATTGTCTGAACTCCCCTCCAAGTCTTCCATATTGTAAACCAGCTGGCCCATCCTGCATTGCTTGGGAGAATCATTAACTCAAAGCTAAATAAATCCCTGCTATCATTTACCAAAGAAGAGCACACTACAGAGTTGCCCATGTGAGAAGTACTTTGATCAAAGCCTGAAGCTCTTCTGGACAACTCCCTATTTTCCCAGGGATATAAATGAAGGTGTGCCTTGTAGGGGGCCCCAAAGAGAATTTCAACTATATCATGTGTTCTGTATTTTTAATCAGACTAGCCCAAAACAATCCTTCAAATTTGGTGAAAATATAACCAGCTGTCCAATTTTGTAGGATTCATTAAAAGACAGATATTTAACATCATTTATATAGCCATGTTTGTTCTTTCTCTGTATCACCCATTGAGGTAACTGGGGGCTTTCTCTTTTAAGATGCCTATGAGGCCAGTTCTCTCTGGAGTTTTTTGTTTTTTTTTTTCTGTACTGTCCCAACCTTTTTTTTTTTTTTTTGGACACTCTTTAATATTCCTGATTGCTACAGCCATTTCCTCCACTCTTGCTCTGGTTTTTTTTGTTTTGTTTTGTTTTATCTGGGGGGTTCTGTTTTTTTTGTTTTGTTTTTTCCTCAAGGTTATTTGTCCCACCTACTCCATGTGATTTCCCTGATTGGTCAGAGAGGAAAGTAAGAAGCATCAACTCTCACTCACGAAGCAGACCTCAACTGCCCTCAGATGAGTGACTAACATATTCTTTAAACTCATTGAGATTCATAGAGAAAATGACACACAGAGAGAATTTGAACCGTGTCCATGTTTTATACAATGCGTTTTTATACTCCCTGCCACAGAAATCTCAAATCCTGGCCAGTGACTTTGATTCTTAGTACAACCAGTATGCATTCTTTCAAGATGAATGACAGAGGGGTTAAAAAAAAATTGCCACCTGAGAGGATACTCAACATTGCTTCATTGCTGAGGAGCATTCTGATTTAATTTGTTTGGTTCTGGGTTTTGGGGGTTTTTTTTGGTTGTTTTTTGTTTTTGTTTTTATTTTTTTTGGTATTCCTCTTCCTCATTCTCCTGTTCTTTACTTCCTGCTGCAGTGGGTCACCTGACAACCACTTCTCTCTGAAGTAGATGCCTTGTCAGATGGCTGCCAGCAGCTCCTGTGTATTGCTGTCTATCTCTTTTCACAGAGGATGTGCTTTGGCTGTACAGCACCAAGGGGCTGACTATTCATGACTGACTTGGAATGTCAACTTTATGCAGTAAAATAACTTGCGGGGGGATAGAGAATTTCAGCAGCAAATTTTTGAGATCAGTGGCTCAACATTTCCCTTCTATCACACAATACTTTTTTGACATTTCCTGTGACATCTGAGCCAAAACTGGGGCAAATGTGGTGGAAACTTTGTACGCATTTATTTGTACTTGCTTATTGCAAAGTTGAATGTAATTCAAGGACTAAACTTTTAAGAGCAAGTCTAATCTTCCTACATAACAATTCCTGTAAGAATATGCCCCCAAAACACTTCGGACATAAAATCTTTCATGAAAGCTGTGATTATAAAGTAGTAAATCTGATGCCACACCTGAAAATAGGACTTTCTGTGCATCACCACACTCAAATAATAAAGAACCCCTCTGCAACTGTATATCACTGAATTTAAGACACCCTCCATCAGAAGATACACTATTATTTTATATATGACTAAGAAAAGGAGGGGAAAACTGCCAAGTAAGCTAAGAGGCAATGCTTTCTTATCCATTAATTTTAAGACCCATTCCAATTTCAGAGATGTTAAAATGTGAACAAGTGAACATATCAGAATCAATGAAATATAGTACACTCTTTTTGCATTAGAAACACTCATAGGACCTTCACTATTTGATTTGGGGAAAAAATCCTATTAATATTATGGGAATAGAGAAAATGTTTAAAATTATTCTAAGAAACAGACTCTTAGACATTTAAAGATAAACAGAGATACCTGTAATTTAAATATCCATTTTTCTTACTTTTTTTCTTATTTCTATGGGTGAGAGTCAGGGTTTTTTTGTTTGTTAGTTTGTTTTTTTTAGATGTTTGCAAAATCTTTTTTTGGTACCCCAATGCAGTAAGGATACCATAAAGACAATTTTTTCATTGTTAAATGAAAAAAATATATTATTAAATATATTATTTATTATATTCCTTCACTGTTAATTATGCAATTTCAACTGCATCTTTAACATCATCTCAGAAATCTGAATGAATGAAAAGTAACCATTTACAGGCACCAAAGGAAGCAGTAGGTGAATTTTGATGTTTCCTTTGGTGTAGAACTCTGAGCAAAAGTGATTCAGTACTGGAATATTAGCCATAGCATCTAAATCTTACAGTATTTTTCTCTAAGTCTTTGTCTCTCCAGGCTGGGTGGCAATTCTGAATTGGATAAACATTCTTTTAAAAATACTTGTATTAATGCCAATTACTTGGCACAGAAAGACCTTTGAGGATGGATATTCCTGATCTCAACTAAAAATTCCCATATTTAAGTTTAGTCTTTTTTTATCTTTCAACCATTTTTTTTGGAAAGACCTGTCTCTAGTTCTGGCTTTCCCATCCCAGATCAATTTGAGACAATTTCCATGGTTAGTTCCTAAGGAAATTTTTTCTTCTGTACTTAATTTGAGTGTTGCCCTTATTTAAAGCAAGCACAGAGCTATCCAATAATTCATCTTTTAAGTTCCCCAGTTTAGTTATGTTGTTTTCTTCAAAGCTCTCAATGTCCACAACCACCATAAAAAAATTATGAGCATGTTATTTAGCCCTATGAATTACTCTTTTGTAACTCCAATTCAAAAAACAAATGGCAGTATTGGAGACCCATTTTTTTTTTTTTTTTTTGGTATGTGAATTCTTGCCTTCTATTCTTTTTTTTTAAGTTTTTTAAAAATTTTAATCCCAGTATAGTTAACATACAGTATTATATTAGTTTCAGATGTACACTATAGTGATCAACAATTCTATACATTACTCAGTGCTCATCATGATGGAGGCTCCTCATTTTAAGGAAATTGTAAATACGAAGTTAGTTCTTCAAAGGAAAGAAAATATCCTCCATCATTTCCCACTAACAGGTATGAAAGGGTATTGTAACATTCAGTTACTGCCAATGTAACTGTTTTGCTTCCCATTTTCTGGACAGATTATGGAGTGTTCTTCTTAGTGCCATGTCCTGTTCCTCTCCTATAGATATTATAGACATTGCATTAACTTGTTCTAGCCACCAAGGAAGTCACCTATATAATAAATACTGACTGACAAGGGCTATCCTAGAACCTTAAAAATTGACAAAGAAGAACTCTTCCTGCTTTACTTCCTAAGTCTAGGAGGCAAGCCAGTAGAGTATCTTTTCCAAGAAACATTGTTTACAGAATGATTTTACTACTCTCATCAATTTCCTTATCTTCTCTATATTGTAGAGAGGATTCTCCCTTATGGGTCTTTGTATAGGTTTTATTCCATTTTTAATTTAAGTTGTAATAATACTCTTAGGACCTGTGGAATTGAGCACTTTTTTTTTGATCACATGGACTAGAACTCCAATTACCTGTATTTGTTAGTTGGTGAGAAAGGAGATCACATGCAAAGATCTGGAACGGTTGGGGTCCAGAGCAACTGTTGTGATCAATTTACAAAGACATTTGGCCGTAGCTGGATGCCATAGACGAAGATGGAATTACAGTAATGTCCAAAATTAACGGGCCGTAACTACTAAAGACGGGTGCAGGGCAAACTGAATTTGGATACTGATGAGTTTGAAATGGGATACTTCATTCAGCGACTTCAGATTTATTCTGTTGCTTTTTTATAGTCTCGCTGAAAGCTTACTCTTGCCCACTGGGGCAGGGAGAAAGTATATTATGAGTGATCCTGTGTACCAAGAGGTTCTACTGATGGACATATGTCTGGCCACTTGAGAACTGTGTCTGAGTGAAATACACTTACAAGTCAATTACTAATGACAGTGCCTTTAGCAACTCCCTGAAAAGGTGGGGGTGTGATTTCTTCCATGGAGCTGACTTTAGCCAAATTCACAGATTGCTAAAACCTGGCATTTTAAAATTTTTAATTTTTAATTTTTTAAATTTTTTCCTCAGAACCATCATAAAATAAGCACATTACTTTTTTTGTACCCTATCATCATTATCCCAGTGTGTTAGGTTTTGTTTCTTTTTTCCATTGATATCATTCCTGTGTTTCAATCAGTGAAGTGTACTGCTTGATTTCATTTGGGATTTGTATTTGTGTTTTTGTTTTCCATTCCTTTATATTTCTTTGGTTCATAGTGTCAGAAGATGATGTTTTTTATGACAAACTGCCCTCGTTTGAAAGGCGCTGTGATACACTGGCAGGTATGGTGCTAGCCCAGTGATCCCTGGATATCTAGACTTTAAAAATCCAAGCCATTATGCCATCTGAATGCTGTAAACTTCATGGACATGCTATTCACCTCATGAGTGTCTGGTGCCTCTCAGAAGCACCCTATTTATTGTTCATCGTGGAATTCATGCCACCAAATTTTTTTTTTAAGTGAACCTATTAAAAAGCAGCAGGTTGCATGACAGTTTCTCAAAAGGTTTGAAGAAGGTGAGATGCCATTGCTTTGTGAATTTACAAAGGAAGGAATAATTTAACTGCTCAGAATTACATGTCCAGTGACTGCTTTTGGATTTAAAATATAATAGGACACCGTCAGTAATCTTGTTTTCTCTTTGGTACGAACGTAGGTTAAGGGTGTTTTGTGTCTGGATGCCTAAGGTGATTCCAGGGGAGGGGACGGAAGATGTGCGGCATCTTCCATGAACTTTAAATCAATATGCAATGCTGTTGTCATTTAAAACCTAAGCTAAGTTTGATATAACCCATAACTCTGAGTTTATTTTTTTAAATATAGAAGGGGATGACATTGAAGATGAAATGGATACAGCAATTGCTAAACGACCGTTTGCCCTAACTAGTGCAGTTAAAATATGCTGACGCCCCTGCATGGCCAGGAAGACTTCCGCTCCATGCACTCAAGCACCGAGTATCAAGCTACCAGCAACACGTGCCCATCCCTTTAGGCCTCCACAGCTTTGCTTTTGCTTTCTGTTTCCCAAACTAAAAACCAAAACCAAAACATAGATTACCAGCCTTCCCTTTTTCCTGCACGCTAACGGCATGCAGTGCCTCCGCCCTCCCCCATAGTGAGATTAATGACCTGTAACTCATACTGTGTCCTTCTCTCTCCCTTTCCTTAACCTTTCCCATCCCGCTTCAACTCCTGGCCATACAGAGAATGAACAGCCTTCCCTCGTTTGGTTTGACAGAGGAAAGTTTTATTTGACTTTTGAAGGTAAGTAGTACATAGCATACCAGATTCTAATTGATACCCCTCATCCTTTTTTTCCCGTCTGCATTTCCAAATCCCAGTTCTCTTCAAAAGACCTGGTCGCACCTTCTATATACAAATGCTATGGCTACTTAGAAAATATGAAATACTAAAGAAAATATGACATGAATTTGGTTTGTATGGGATCTTCAATTTTTCATATTAAAAAAAAAACGAAGCCAATTTGCAGAAAATATTGGTTACTTAATTAACTGTGTGAAATTGGAAAAAAACCAACAAACAAACACCTTTTTTTGGCCAAGGAACTTAACTCTGTCAACCAGGGCTCTTTCCTGACTCTTTTGCAGATGCAATACAACAAATGTAAGGATGTTTTTGGTTGGAATTGGCATTTAATTTTGTTTTGGGTAACTAATATTGCAGATACAACATCCATTATTGTAAAACATAAATATGTATACATATTCTTATGACAAGGAATGCTGCATAGGAGATCAGAAAAATGAGGAAAAGAACAAAAAGGAGTGTTGTAGTAAATTTTATTTTCATCTACTGAAATTGCAACTGACATGGCTGTAGGAAAATGGACAACTATCACTGGACTTGCCATTTTAGAAGATTAAGGTGAATTTACCTAAATATAATGTCAGATATTTAACCTCAATGTTGGATAATTTGTTATACTCTGAATTAAGGATTAGCATTCTTCTGTTTTATGTTAAATTCTAAATCATTTTAACAGGCCAGGCATTTGATAAAAAATCTTATTTAAGCTAATTGTGGGGAAAATTTAAGTAATTATATTGTGGGTGGTCTCATCCGTAAATATTTATCACTTAAGCCCCTACTTTCTACCATTTTAAATAGCTAAATTTCTCCTAGGATCAAAAGTGGGCCAGAATGTATTCTACTGTAGAGTCGAATCTAAACATTGAACTTGTCTTTGTGTTCCAGGACAGCAAAAAGCAATTTCCTAACTTGAGTGTGTGTTTTATCGCAATTTTAAAAATCAGAATGACTGATAAAGGTTTTTAAGTAGCGTGTGAGGTGTGTTTTTTTTTTTCTCTCAGGGGCGAATTTTCTGTGCAAGATGGTCCTAGAGGTGGAAGTCCTTAGCTGGGAGTAGCTTGGGTAGCAACAGAAAAGAATGATCTGATTTAAAGCTTTCCAAATACCTGATGTCCTGTCCTGGCTCAGGTGGAAGACAGGTGGATAGGTAATCTTTAGGGGAGGATGCATGTTTCCCACATGATGTCAGAAGCCTTCCTCGCCTCGGGTCATTACTTTTGTAATAACCAAGATGCAAAATCCATAAACTTATGACCTTCTAAGCCAAATTTATGACCTTTTAAGCTTTCTCTTTGAATCTGATGGAATTAAAAAGTGCCCAGGGGTCTTTTTACTGATCAGCACATCTCAAAAGGAGAAGCTACAGTTGAATAGGTTGGTAATCCCCAAGTACAGCAAATCCCTGCATATATAAAGGCCCTCTCTCTGGTTCAGGCTGGCTGCAGCAGAATAATTTACCCTGTTTTAACCAGGGAATTGAACAATACGCTACTGCCAACCCTGCCTCAAATAATTGGGGCCCCACAAAAAAAAAAAAAAAACAACTTCCATGGTGTTTGTTGTTTCCGTTTGTTTCGGTTTTAGAGTATCTATTGGCTCATTTGCTTGTGTTTGAGTTTGGGTTTCTTTAAATGGAGAGACAAACTTTTTTTGAAGATACCTGTCTAAAGACAATTTTAGGTTGTTGGTTTGTTTGTTTTTAAAAATATATATTATCAATCAAATATAAGTATTAATAACTGTGGAATAAAAATGTGAACTACATTTTTTTCATTTTAGGAAAATATAATTATATAATATAAACATAATATTAGGTATCTAAAGTTGGTAACATGGCCATTCTAATTAATAAGATCTGAATTTCATAAGCATCTTGATTTAGACCAAGAAAGTCATGCAAGAAGGTGTTTTAATAGAAATAAATCGGAATCTCTAGTTACCTTCATCTTGGACTTTGTGCAAGTCAAGGACGTATAGAAAGGGCTTCCCGAGGGACTGTGGGAGCAGCCATATCACAAATATATGCCCCTACTTATCTCACTGAGAAATGCTTATGCAGATAAAAGTACATTAAAATGAACTTCGGGACTTAGAAGGAACTAAACATGACACTTTGCCACCTGAACAAGAATGGCTATGTTTTAAGAATAGAGAAGGGTAGGGGCACCTGGGTGGCTCAGTCAGTTAATCGTCTTAGTTTCAGCTCAGATCATGATCTCAGCGTCACAAGATCAAGCCCCGCATCAGCTCCATGCTCAGTGCACCATCTGCTTGTCCCTCTCCCTCCCTCTCAGCCTCTCCCACTTTGCTCCCCGCCCCCAAAATAAATAAATAAAATCTTAAAAAAAAAAAAAGAATGGAGAAGGTTTGTTTTCACCATTTATGTACATTAGTCTCAGGTATTTTTAACTAGTGCAAGCTGGAAGGATTTCTTTTTAATTTTCTGCTGTGATGATAAAGGACATGGAAATCACCTTGAGAATAGTGCCCCTACCCAAATTTTAAACTCCAAAAGGACCGTCATTCAACATGTCCTATCGAATAGCACTTCTAGCATATTCTTTTAGGGCACTGTGGTTTTATCCACATTTGTTATTATTCATATCATTTTCTTCAATGCTTCGTTCAGGGAATACAGAAGAAGAAGATTCCCAGGTCGTATTACTCACCTGTTCTAAACAGCTTTTAAATCATTATTTATTGGCATCTAAATAGTGCTTTTATAGTGTTCAAAACCTTAGCTGGTCTCATTCATACAGTGCTCTAGGCATTATAGTTACTCAGTAAGTGTTTGATCCACTAAACCAACCAACCAACTAATGAACATTGGCTTATGAATTTATTTGCAAATAAACGTGATATGCTTCATACTTTCAAATTTGATTTAACAAAAAAGGTAGAAAGGTGTTAAACAATGATTCTAAACCAAAAGAGTTCCAAAGCTTTTCTTAGTGTTTCACTTTGATAAACAATTTCAGTAATATCTTAACCAATTTAAGTTGGGTTTTAAAAAAAATAAAGGTTGCAAAAGATAATAAATTAATTCATCCAAGAGTATGAAGCTATCACGTATTCGTCTGAGATGGAAGGAAAGGAAAGATATTTCCATGACAAATAGAAGATGTGACTATTAGACATTTGAACAATTCCCTAGAACATTTTAACATGAAGATGTTTCCAGAAATGTGCTATCCCTCTCTTTGTTTAGCTTATTTAACTACAAAATCATCTTGTATTTGGTAATGAAAAACAAACAAACAAAAAACCTTGCAACCATTCTTAAGTGTCATTGTGTCTGAATAGCATCTCCATCCTCTGTGCATACGGCCTCTTGCACACTCATCTCTAGACTGTTCTGTGCTCCCGTTATTGCTCTTACCCATATCACGCCTTCAGGAATGTCACATCCTTAGCAACACCCTCCTCTACATCCGCAGGCTCTCTGCCAGCCTCGCCCACCTGTTTCCTTAACTGAATCCCAGCTCTCTTCAGAGACCATCACTTCTGTAGCACTCTCCCTGGAAAGTTCTGTGGGCCATATGTCATGGGACTACAAGGCACTGTTTGAATTCTCCCAATTCCCTGTTGCCACTTCCAGACCACCTCCTGTTGTGCCTATGTGCAGCCTACCTGATAATTCGACTGCCTACCACTCCTTCTTGCCATCCACTGCTGACCTTCTTGTCCTCTGCATTTAACTGCAGGCTTAGAGATGCTGGAAGCCCCTTTTAACCCTCTTCTTCACCTTGCTTCATAGCTTTATCCTGTGACATAGACTGATGTGGATGACCCATCCAACACCCTGGTTTTAGGGCCTCTTTGACTTCTTCAGCTCCAACACCCTTTCTGTCCACGCTACTCAGTAATCCACACCTCTGGCCACATGTTGGAAATGATCCCCACTGGCAAGTGTCATTTTGGGAGATGAACCCTGAGTTTGAATGACACATGCCTGGGCACAGAAGTAGATTACATAACGGCATTTCCCATCTGACTGGAGTTACCAAATAGAGAATTAATGAGATCAGCACAAAGCCCCAGAAAGAAGAGTTGTTATGTGTAGACAATTTTAAAAGCTGAAGCATAGGTTAAATTGTTCCCTGGAGCAGGAAAAGGGAACTAGGGTCAATGATGAATAGAAGAGAAAAGGTAAAGAATATCCACGCATGCATTCCTCTATCCAGTGGTTAATAAGCCTTCCATGACGTCCTCTGAGCTCTAAGCCCGTGTGCAGGAGTGATGGAGGAAAAATGCTGCTTCTGCCTTCAAGGAATTCACAAGAAATGAAGGAGATGGGCACTTCCTACAAAAGGCATACTATAACAACAGTCGTAATAGAATGCAAAAAAGTGCTGGAAACGTTTGAATAGGGGATAGACTTTAACCGGGAAGAATCTGGAATAACTTCTGGAAGCACAGGGACTTGGACTGACTGACAAAATTTGGGGATTTACTGAAGCAGTTCGAGAGAAGTAGTAAGGGACCGACAGTACCGTTTTCATCTTGAGATTTGAAAAACACCATCAAAGTAGCATCATTTGAAATCTACTAGGATGTGGAAAGGAGTGAAATCTTGCATCCCGATACACAGGGAGAAAGGTGCTGTTGTAAACCAGGAGGAAGGGATCTCCAAGAGAACTAGAAAAAAAATGAGTTACTTTTGGGACCTCTTAACCTAAAGGTCCTACAACTTCCATGTAGATGAGTCCAGGAGTAAACAGATTGTGCAAATTTGGGAGTCATTTGCTTAGAGATAAGGACTGAATCCATAGAGGTAAGGGTTTAACCTTGGGGCATGCTTGCATTCAGGAGCCAGATTGGAAAAAGAATGCATCGTGACTTGGGACTTTCTTTATTGTATCCTTTCTTTAAATAACCACACAAATATTAGTGATTAATTTTTAATGCATGATATTCAGTGGATATGCTTTTGT